GACAAAGGACGAGCAACTGGTCTGCAACGGTTGACGACTCGGCGGGTTATTTTATAAGGTAATAAATCTTTTGAAGAAATTTTTCCTAGAAACAAGAAATACTCTTAAAAACATCTGCTCATGCCTTTCAATTTCAATTTCATTCTGTCACTGATGAGAGCTACATCCAAAGCTCCTTGCAATTAGATCCTTGAAACCGTCAGTCCTTCTTTCAGCCGCTGAATGAGGCCAACAGATTCAGGATATAAAATTCAATCAAAAATTTTAGGACCTTTAAAGGCTTCAGCATTATATTATCAATCGTCGTTTAATCTCTTGATGTCTTTGACGCTAAAAGCTAATTCAATACCTTGTTAAGTCTCTTTATCCTGCAGTTGCAAACTATTATTTTTTCAGAAATAGCTGAACGGTTCGCCTCCAATGAACCCTAAAAGCAATACCCTCGAAAACGCCTATAAACTGACTCTGTTAAAAAACTCTGTCACCACTGAACGTACTAGTAAATGAACGTACAATCTTTAGTTTTTTAATCATTACTGAGTAATCCAAATAAAGCAGAGTTTTATTAGACTGGTATTACTGATTACAAAGGTCAGGTAAACATTGCAACAAGTGCCAAAACCAGAAGTAGCCTTCCATTCAGCTGAGACATAAAAATCAAAATTTTATCGATCTAAAATTTTGTTAACTTCCCTTTTAGTTGTTCAAATATCAAGTTAAGGATTTCAATTTAAATATTGCCGAAAATACTAAAAGAAATGCTGAATAAAATTTCAGAGAAACAACGGAAAAAACTTAATTTGACAAAGACTTTAATCTCTTTAACTCTAGCAACGTCCTCCGTTACACAATAGGCCATTAAATGTTTTTGTTGTTGCTGCAGTTGCAGTTTAAAAATAAAATTTCTTTTCAATTTGAATTCTTTTAGAAATGAAAAAGAGAAACAAGGAATTTATAATGAACGCATAAAAAACAAGCAAAGTCTTTAAAAAATGGCAAATACTGTTAATATATCACGCTTCAAGTCCTCTTGCAGACATCTGTATTCATTTTCACCTTTTAATCAACCACCAGAAAGCATCTCACAGTTATAAACTTCAAAACCTTTTTAAAGCTAATACTTCAGGACTTCACCTACCCTCTAATAAATGTTAGCAACTCTCCAAAATCTAGCAGATTTTAGACAATAATAAACTTTTATTTCTTTAATTAGTGAAAGAAAATTTAGCACCGACACAACGATAGAGCAACAATAAAACTTAGTAAACCAAAAAAACAGCAATATTGTTGAGTTTTTAACAAAAATATAATTTTCTATACAGCACTCGGTATTTTCTTCCATAACTCTTCAAATACTTATCGAGCTGTAAAAGCGAATTCACTCATTGCAATCCTTCTGATTTACTAGCCACTTTTTTGGAAAAAGTATCAAAAAAAGATTTACATCATACAAAACTAAATCGCTTTGCTATCCTCCAGTCTTCTCCACTTTATTCCCCTACGACTAATTCCAAGAACGTATTTGATATGACGCCTGTTCCCCTTAGTTTTGCCAAAATTTCAATAAAGAAGTTATTGCGAAGTAAAAGTTGTAATAATTAATAGAAATTAATAAGAAGTATAAGCTTAAAGTTTGAGGAAGAGTAAAACAACCACCGCTTACCTTGGATGACATTCAATTGCCTATAAAATGAGATTTCTAGAAATTTTTCAGCAAGCGTTATTCCCAGTCAAAAAATGCACATCTCAACAAATTTGTAAAAAGTACCGTGATTCTAATCGAAAACGGCCAAGTAAGCTATTCAGATTCATAGATCCAGCTAAAGGTCATAGAGGCCTGCAGGCAATTTTGCAATATAAGGTTTTTAAAGCAAAAAATTTGACATGACATTGATAAATTATATACACATAAGTATATTACAATCAAATAAATACACATTTGCACATAATTAGAAAATAATGAATAATAAGCCATGAAAAAAAATTCAAAAAGTAATTACACAATATTTATTCCAAAACTGTTTGATACTCAAAAAAAAACTTTAGCAATGGTACTAGCAACAAAGTAATACAAGATGATATTACGTTTAATAACTGGAGGAATTTTCTGCTTTTTTTTTTTTTTTTTCAACCTCCTATCATTCTAGATTTTTTCGTTATACCACAGTTTATGCAAACTTCCTACAGCAAGTAATGTCAAAATTTATCCAATTGCACTGGTACAGAACAGTGAGCAAGGCCATCTTAAACAAGAATGCAAAAAAGAGGAGCAAATGTCATACATAAAAAAACACAATCAGCTGCTGAAGGCGGCTCAACAGCAGTTCCATGCATTGCAACCACTGATGCCAACAACGTACAAATTAACATACTGACACCGTGTCATCTGCAGGAAAATTCTTTCGCAATTTCTCAGCCACTTTTCAAATAGCAGATTCGTAGACTTAAAACATAAAGCAGCCAGAAGATTTTATTGTTACAGAAACTGTGAGGTGTCAGAATGGAAGAAGAGAATGAGGGGGAAAGAAAAAGAACGGTTGCATAGCCAAAAAGGAATGACTTTAAAAAGATGAAAATAAAAATG